ATATATATATATACATACACAAACACACGCACAGACACAGACACACAGACACACAGACACACACATATATATAGATATATATATAGATATAGATATATATAAATACATATATATACATATATCTATCTATCTATCTATCTATCTATCTATATATATATATATATATATATACACATATACATATACATATACACGCAATCGTATGCGCATCCCCCGCACTGACCCGTTGCGGTCGTTGTCGTCTGTGACTGTGCTGCCTCGCCTGCTGTAGTGTACAGCCATGGTCTTCCTGCGGTGATACCCCTCAGACTTCATGTCACTGTTGGGCATGGGCTTCAGTAGACTGTCGACGTCCAACCCCATGTCATTCAGAAACGGACGGAACACTTCAGTGTACCCGTACATGTCCACTACCAGACCAAAAAGGTGCACAAACACCTGTAGAGACAGGACAGGACAGGACAATGTGTTGAGATAATGACAGTGTATGTACCCGTACATGTCCACTACAAGGCCAAACAGGTGCACAAACACCTCCAGAGACAGGACAGGACAGGACAATATGTTGAAATAATTATAGTGTATGCACCCGTACATGTCCACTACAAGGCCAAACAGGTGCACAAACACCTCCAGAGATAGGACAGGACAGGACAATATGTTGAGATAATTATAGTGTATGTACCCGTAGATGTCCACTACAAGGCCAAACAGGTGCACAAACACCATGTACCTATACAGACACACCTATGTACATACATTTATAGACATACACCTATGCACATACATTTATACACATACAACTATGTCCATACATTTATACACATACACCTATGTACATACACATACACTTATAAACATACACCTATGTACATACACTTATAAACATACACCTCTGTAGACACACTTACACCCATACACCTATGCACATACACATACACACATGCACCTAAGTACATACACTACCTATGTACATACACTTAAAAAACATTCCCCTCTGTACATACACTTACACCCATACACCTATGTACATACACACATATACCTATGTACATACACTTACACACATACCTATGTACATACACTTACACACATACACCTGCTGGTTCGACGTCATATAAAGTGCCGATAATGCAGAAGGATGCACAGTGGCAGCCATAAGGTGTAGTGATACTTCAGTCTTTGTACAGACATTCAAACGTATATACATAGACATGTTAATAGATAAACACCCCCCCGTATACACACACATTCATAAAGATACATAAATATATAGACACACACACATTCATAAAATTACATGAATATTTAAACACACACACATTCATAAAGATACATAAATATATATACACACACACACATTCATAAAGATACATGAATATGAATACACACACACATTCATAAACATACATAAATATATATACACGCACATTCATAAACAAACATGTATATATATACACACACATTATTAAACATACATAAATATATATACACACACATTCATAAACGTACATGAGAATTTATACACACGCACATTCATAAAGATACATAAATATATATACACACGTTCATAAATATACATGAAAATACACACACACACATTCATAAAGATACAAAAAATATATATATACACACATTTATAAACATACATGAAAATATATACACACACACATTCATAAAGATACAAAAATATATATAAACACAAATTTATAAACATACATAAAAATATATCCACACACATTCATAAACATACAAAAACATATATACACACACATTCATAAACGTGTGCATACAAGGACGAACGCAAGGCGACATACACGACTACACGTATGTATACTCACCACCATCCATACATACTAAAACCCGAACACACACACACACACACACATATATATATGTACATACACACACACACACACACATATATATATATATATATATACATACATATATATATAGATGCACACACACACATACATAAACATACACATATGCACATACATAACATACACACACACACATACATACACGTGCACATACATAAATATACACACAGACACACATACACGGGCACATACCAAGAAATAGCTCATTCCGCCATTGATCGATGAAGCCGTGCAGGCTACAGTGGTTGCTATGGTAACGATGGGGGTAAAGACTATCATCTGCTTGTACGAGGTCTTCATGAACATGGTGCTGAGGCTGTACACAGTGATGTACATGACTGGCGTAGTGATGGAGATCACAAACAAGTGCTCCATGGCATACACCTGTGTGTGCGAGTGAGTGTCATGCGTGAGTGAGTGTGTGTAGAAGTGTTGTGTGTGAGTGAGTGTTATGTGTGAGCGAGTGTGTGTAGAAGTGTTGTGAGTGAGTGAGTGTTATGCGTGAGTGAGTGTGTGTAGAAGTGTTGTGTGAGAGTGGGTGTTATGTGTGAGTGAGTGTGTGTAGAAGTGTTGTGTGTGAGTGAGTATTATGTGTGAGTGAGTGTGTGTAGAAGTGTTGTGTGTGAGTGAGTGTTATGTGAGAGAGAGTGTGTGTAGAAGTGTTGTGTGTGAGTGAGTGCTATGTGTGAGTGAGTGTGTAGTAGTGTTATATGTGTGTCTGTGTTTGAGTGAGTGTTGTGAGTAAGTGAGTGTGTAGAGTAGTGTTATGTGTGTTTGTGTGTTTGTGTTTGTGAGTGTGTAGAGTAGTGCTATATGTGTGATTGTGTGGTTGTGTTTGAGTCAGTGTTGTGAGTGAGTGAGTGTGTAGAATAGTGTTATATGTGTGATAGTGTGGTTGTGTTTGAGTAAGTGTTGTGAGTGAGTGAGTGAGTGTGTAGAGTAGTGTTATATGTGTGATAGTGTGATTGTGTTTGAGTAAGTGTTGTGAGTGAATGAGTGTGTAGAGTAGTGTTATATGTGTGATAGTGTGATTGTGTCTGAGTAAGTGTTGTGAGTGAGTGAGTGTGTAGAGTAGTGTTATATGTGTGATAGTGTGATTGTGTTTGAGTAAGTGTTGTGAGTGAGTGAGTGTGTAGAGTAGTGTTATATGTGTGATTGTGTGATTGTGTTTGAGTAAGTGTTGTGAGTGAGCGAGTGTGCTCAGTAGTGTAGATATACCTATTTATATAATCTTCTATAGTAATCTATATACGATATATGAATATCCATATAATCTATACCAATATATTTATAATACATCTATATATGTCCCTTTGTGCTGAAGAAAGGCTTACTAGGCCCATTTCACACCTCTTCTCGGGATAATCAAACCCTTTATCAAATGTGTGAGTGGCATTACGTTTGTATGTCCGATGGAGGGCTGTATTGAGACTACACAGTGAGGTGCACATACACAAATGATATACGCCATATACTAATGCAAGCTGCACAAGACCTACACACCCAAGGTGGATAGATATATCTATTTATACACACCAATCAGAAAGAGCAGGCATGCCTGCACCCTGGCATCGCAGGGGTGCAAGGACAAGGAAAGGATGTACAGGTTCAGCTGCACAATCAGTGTCCTTTTAATGCGTCTCACCATTCCTAATAGTGCTGTTTATACACACACACACACACACACACACACACACACACACATATATATATTATAAAATATATATATTTCACTATACATACTTTAATATATATATATATATATATATATATACTAATCGAAAGGATCAGACAAACACATACCATGCCACCACGGGGGTGGAGTGAGACCAGCAGGATGTAGAAGTTCATTAGCACAACGAGTGTCCATTTGATGCGCTTCATTAGATTGATCGCCAACTGAGCCTAACGGTTGAGGGATAAAAAACCAATCCTCGAAGTCAGCTGCTATAATTGGTCAGAGGTACTTATAGAGCAAACTATATTTGGAACATACATTCTATTATTAGAACAATCTATAATCAGAGCACACTATGATTGGAACGGATAGGAGGCAGGGTCACACACCGTGATACACGCATGGGATACCACTTTCAGATTCGCTTGACATCTGCTGTTGCTAGCTATAGTTGTGGTATGTGTGATTTCCTGGCAGTCATGAACTTATCTGTTACTACGGTAACCATAGCAACGTAATATATCTAATCGAGATTGTGACTCTGAATTGAGTCGGAATTTTGCTTAGCCATATGTGATCTTCAGGTTTTAGGGTTTACATTCCAGTCACTGCCACCGTACTGTGTTGCTGAAGGTGTTTGTGGCGTCATGGGCCGTATGCTTTGATTGCCGGTGTATATAAGCAAATGACCCTATACAGACATACTACATGTTGTATATAAGCAAATATCCCTATGAAGACATACTACATGTCGAATATAAGCAAATATCCCTATGAAGACATATATGCTTAATTGCCGGTGTATAAAACCAAATGTCCCTATGAAGACATACTACATGTATATAAGCAAATATCCCTATAAAGACATTCTGCATGTTGTATATAAGCAAATATCCCTATGAAGACATATATGCTTGATTGCCGGTGTATATAACCAAACACCCTATGAAGACATATAAGCTTGATTGCCAGTGTATATAACTAAATGTCCCTATGAAGACATTTATGCTTGATTGCCGGTGTAGATAACCAAACATCCCTATGAAGACATACTTCATGTGCCATGCACCACGTTTGCTGATCTGGTTATCGTTGTGAGAAGAAAAAAAAAAGTATATACATGTGTTGCTGTTTGTGATGTGCTTCTTAACGTACACACATGTAATGTTATTTGTGCTATGCTTTTAACGTACACACATGTGTAGCTGACTGTGTACCTGAATGTCGTTGATGGGTTTCTGTGGCAGGCGTGCAAAGATCATGAGCACGAGCAGAAACAGACCTATGGAGATCAAAGCAACCAAGCGAACATCCGCGAAGGTAAAACGCCCTGTTAAAAGAAATGCATACAGCTACGGGTGAATGGATAGACGTGTATGTTATGAATATAGAAGACATGGACTTGTTCCATTCGAAGGTGTATATGTAGTCGTACGATAAAACATATATACACACAGAGTCACTCGGAGAGACACAGAAACACATACAGATTCAGATTCAGATTCAGAGACAGAGACCCAAACACACACACACACACAGAGATTGAGATTCAGATTCAGAGACAGAGACCCAAACACACACACACACACACACACACAGATTCAGAGACAGAGACCCAAACACACACACGCACACACAAACACACACACATATA